AAGTACCGTCGAGTCAGTTCCGACCCATAGCGACCCTGTATAGGGTTTCTGAGGAGTGACTGGTGAGCTTGAACTACCAACCTTGCAGTTCAAACGGCTTTGCAGTCTGGCGCATTAACCCAAAGCGCCACGCCAAGACCTGGTTTCTTATAGTAGTGTTTTATGGTTTTCTTTGTATAGGCCTTTTGTTTCTCTGCTTGTATTGAATCTTTTGGCTGGCTATTGTAAATGGTATTGTTTTCCTGATTTCCTTTTATAGAGCTTACTTTGTGTAAAGGAATCCAACTGATTTTTGTATTTAAAGACTCAGCTACTTTGCTGAGTCTTTAAATTATTTCTAAATAATTTTCTTGCCAAGTCTTTGGAATTTTCTATGTATAGGATCATATCATTTTCAAATAAAGAATTTTACTTCTTTGCCAGTTTGTTGTTGTTAAGTGCTGTCGTGTCAGTTCTGACTCATAGTGACCCTATATAAGGTTTCCTAGGAATGACTGATGGGTTTGAACTACCAACCTTGTAGTTAGCAGTCCAGTGTTTATCCTACAGTGCCACACCAGAACTACAGTTTGGTTGCCTTTAATTTCCCCTTCTTGCCTTATAGCTTTGGCTAAGACTTGTAGCACAGTATTGAATAAGAGTGCTGATAAAGGGCATCTTGCTTGTTTCCCATGCACAAGGAGATGCTTTCAGTTTCTCTTTATTGAAAATAACACTAATAAATTTTTGTCTCTATACATTTGCCTATTCCAGGTATTTTATCTAAGTGGGATCATATGATACTTATTCTTTTGTTTCTGAGTTATGTCACTCAGTATAATGTTTTCAAGGTTTGTCCATGTCATAGCACATAACTTCATTTCTCCTATGGCTGAATAATATAGTCCCTTATATGTATATGTTATATTTTATCTATGTATTCCGTGGGTAGTTTGTACCTCTTGACTTTACGAATATTGCTGCAATAGTCATTGGTGTCCAAGTATCTGTTTGTCAGATGATTAAGATTTTTGTAACAGAAAGCTCTGCTATGTTTAAATTTTTTTATATACAATTATGATAATTAGCACATTGTAAGAATATAAACCTTTGCTTTTTAAAGTTTATTTTTAAATGGTTCCTTTATCACTGTTTCTCATACCACCATTGCTTTCCTGATGTAAATACTATACATTGAACAAATTAAATGTAAATTTTTTTATTACCATAGTTCATGTTAATAGCGGGACTTTTCAGGTGTTTAGAGATTTTTGGGTTAACCTTCAATGCAAAAGTACTAGATGGTGTATAACTCTAGAGTTGAATTTTAAGGGATTCCCTAATATGTATACTATCTTTTTATCTGAAGTAATAAATAAACTATGATCTTGAAAGTGCTTGAAAAAAATAAAAACTGTTTGTCAGATACTTGGACACCAATGACCTATATAAATGGAGTCCCTGCTTGGAGTTATCTTGGGTATATGCCTAAGAGTAGAATTGCCGGACCGTAACGGCAATTCTGTTTAACTTTTTGAGGCACTGCCGAACTATTTTTCCACATTGACAATCCAACCAGGAATACATAGGGTTCCAATTTTTTCACATCCTTAACAAAATTTGTTGTTTTCCATTTTCTTGATCATAGCTGCCCTAGTGGGAGTGAAATGTTCGTCTCTTTATGACTGTGATTTGCTTTCCCTGTCTTGGTGAAGTACTGGACCACAAGGTCCGTTTGGACCACAAGGTCAGAGGTTCAGACTTACCAGCCGCTCCTTGGAAACCCTATACAGGATCACCAACTCAATGGCACATAACAACAACAATGTTGTTAGGAGTCCTGTTGTGGCATTGTTGAGTAAGCATTGAACTGCTAATTACAAGGTTCACAGCCACTAGGCACTCCTTGGAAACCATATATAGGGTCTCTGAGTCGGAACCTACTCAATGGCACTTAAAATGTTGGAATTTTTTTTTTTTTTTTTTTTGTATAGGATCAGATTGTCTTCAAATAGAGGGAATTTTACTTCTTTGCCAACTTGTTGTTAAGTGCCATCAAGTCAGTTCCGACTCATAGCGACTCTGTATAGAGTTCTGAGAAGCAACTTGTGAGTTTGAACCATTGACCTTGCAGTTCAAACCAACCTCGCAGTCCAGTGCTTATTCTGCAGTACCACACCTTTCTTGCCTTAGGGCATCATTGTCTGGTTGGGGGGAGGGGGGGGAGAATGCTTTCAGTTTTTCTCCATTATAAGTCATACTAATAAACTTTTGTCATGTTGTCGTTAAGTGCCATTGAGTCAATTCCAACTTATAGGGATCCTGTATAGGGTTTCCAAGGAGTGGCTGGTAAGTTTAAACCACTTACCTTGAGGTTACCAGTTAGTGCTTATCCTACAGCGCCACATAGTACCCTGTACAGTGTTTCTCAGGCTGTAAATCTTTACAGGAACAGATAGCCTCATCTTTCTCCTGTGGAACAATCCGTAGTTTTGAACTGCTGACCTTGAGATTCGCAGCCCAATTCATAACCACTACGCTATCAGTGCTCCTTATGTAGTTAATGTGGTTATGTATAAATTTGAAGTGACTTTTCTATTTCTATAAAGAAAGCTGTTGGCATTTTGATAGGGATTGCATTGAATCTGCACATTACTTTCAGTAACATTGATATCTTAGAATATTGTCTTCAAATCCATGAACATGGAGTTTATTTCCATTGTTCTTTAATTTTTTCATCAGTGCTTTATTATTTTCATTATACATGTCCTTCATCTCCCTGGTTAAAGGTATTGCTAGGTATTTTATTCTTTCAGATCCTGTTATAAGTAAAACAGTTGTCTTCATTTACTTTTTATATGTTGGGCTTGCACTCGGCTACTCTGATTAATTCATTGATTATCTTTAGTCACTTTCTTGTGGATTCTTTGGGATTCTCTATGTATTGGATCATGTTATCTTAGAATAGACATAGATATACCTATTCCTTCCCAATTGTGTACCTTTTTCATCTTGTCGAACTGGGACTTCCAGTATAATGTTGAATAGCAATGATGAGAGCACATAACATTCTACTGAAACCTATTCTATGTCTGGCATCCTGCTGGATACCAGGATAGCAGACAGAATACAATGATCTAAAGCTTTGTTCTCAAGGGGCTTGCATCCTGTCTATGTCTTAGGAAAGTAAAAAGATAAGGGGATAGAGAATGAATGATGCAGGGGATAGTGATGAGGTTACATTGAATGGGGCCCAATGGAAACAGGAAACACTTGTGCATCAAAGGATTTTATCAACAAAGTGAAGAGATGGTTCACAGAATGGGATAAAATTTGGGGGACTCATGCATCAAAGAAGGGTTTAATATCCAGAACATGTAAAGGACTTCTTCTATATGGGGAAACGTCCTTGACTGAAACAGGAGTAGTGCTAAGGCCTTAAAAGTGGGTGTGAGCTTAAAGTGTCGAATAAATAGCCAGAAGAGGCCAGTGATGATGGAATGAAGGGTAAGGAAAGGGTAGGAGATGTCAAAGAATAAAATATATAATGCCTTATAAAGCTGGTGAAAACTCTGGATTTTACGCTGAGTGAGGTTGGGCAACTTTGAACGCAGAAAAAGATCTTATGTCATGGGATCACTCTGGCTGCTTGAGAGTGGGCCGTAAAGGCAAGAGTGTAAGCTGGGATACGAGTTACAAGACAATTGCAGAACAACAGATAAAAATGAAGGGAGTTTGGGTTAGAGTGGCAACTTCTGAAAACACTTTGAAGGTAGAGCCTATAGGACTTTGCTGTTGGATTGGATGTAGGTATGAGGGAATGAAAAGGATCCAGTACTATGACTGTGAGCATCTAGTTACAGTGGAGCTGCCATTTACATTTCCAAAGGCTAGAGGGAGGTATTGGTTTGCAAGTACTTGTAAGCTACAAAATTCAGAAAAATAATTATTCTGATGTGTACTTTCTTAGATCTGATAACTTTTTAATACCACATATGGATTTAAGGATAAAAGACTTTAACATTTTATTAGATATTGGAAATACAGAAACTGAATAACATTTGGATTTAGTTGAGTGAGATGTCAGATGTTGAAAATATGTATAATTTAGTGATTTTGTGACAAATACAGAAAAGAAGTCAGTTTGAGGATTAAGATGCGCTTGACCCAAGTTACGGTATTTTCAATAGCTTCATATGCATGTGAAAGGAAGACCATAGAAGAACTGATACATTTGAGTTATGGTGTTAGAGAAGAATATTAAAAGTACCATGGACTGCTAGAAGAACAAACAAATCTGTGTTGGAAAAAGTACACCAGAGTGTTCCTTAGAAGCCAGGATGGCCAGGCTTCGCTTCTCATACTTAGGGCATATTATTAGGAGTGACCACTCCTGGAGAAAGACGTCATGCTTGGTAAAGTGTAGGGTTAGAGGGAAGACCCCTAATGAGATGGAGTGGCAGCAGCAATGGACTCAAGCTTGACGATTGTCAGGATAGTGCAGGACCAGACAGTGTTTCCTTTTGTTGAACAGAAGGTCATTATGAGTTGCAATCAATTTGACAGTACCTAATGACTTCTGGTGTGGCGCTGTGGGTTAATGCGCCAGACTGCAAAGCCGTTTGAACTGCAAGGTTGGTGGTTCAAGCTCACCAGCTGCTCCTTAGAAACCCTATCCAGGGTCGCTTTGGGTCTGAATCAACTCGATGGCACTTAACAACAAAACAATGACAACAAGGGAGTCCTGGTGTGGTGCTGTGGGTTAATGCGCCAGACTGCAAAGTCATTTGAACTGCAAGGTTGGCAGTTCAAGCTCACCCGCTGCTTTTTGGAAACCCTACACAGGGTCGGAATCGACTCGATGGCACTTAACAACAATGACAACATAGAGTGAAAGAGAGGCTGACACACTTCACCAAAGCAGAACTTTCACCACCTCTAGAGCTCTGCTTTGTGTTTCTGAGATGATGTTTTTCTTGTTAGTAAATAATCCTCTTTTTGTATTTTTTGCCTTTTTCTAGCTGGGGAATGGCAGTCAATGTGTATTCCACCTCGATAACCCAAGAGACGATGAGCAGACATGACATCATTGCATGGGTTAATGACATAGTATCATTAAACTACACAAAAGTGGAACAGCTTTGTTCAGGTAAGAGATTACCTTTTTAACTATTTACCTAAATGTTTGTCATGATGTGCAGTGTGATCTTACGAGCCACAGATGATGTATTTTAGTTAGAAAAAAATTACTATCAGCATTGATATATAATTGAAGTGGAAAAACCGGTGTATGATAAAAAGGATGTTTCTGAGCATCGAGCCATCCTGCCAGGCATGAACCACCTCCTGTTGAGTGGTTAGCCACTCTCCTAACTTGCTGTCTACTATCTCTTGTTGGCCACCAATCTTGCCCTCCTAAAATACAAATAACACCCTTCCTTAGAAACCTGCAGGGCTCAATATTGTCCTTTCTCTGGGATACAGTTTTCAGACTCCTTTACCGAGACTCTGCTCTGCCTTCAACCTTCATCTCAACGTCATCTTCCGCATCTCTCCCCTTTGTTCCCTAAAGACTCATTCCTTTTTAAAAAAAAAAAAACAAAAAAAAACAAACACATAAACCTGGTTTATAACATTTCTCTGGCAAAACTGTTCCCCAGCCCTGTGAGTGTAGCCCAGCAGCTGCCTAGGGTCCCACGGCCTGGTGGGCAGGCTAAGGACGCATGCCCATGTGGCCTCAAGTCCAGGGGAGGCTGAGCGCTGGCTCAGTGCAGGTGCTGTAGGGCCTGGGCCAAGTCCTCACGAAGCCCCAGAAGCCCTCAGTCAGTGATTGAGCACCAGAAGTCTTCTGAGTAGGAGACATTGTCCTTCAGCAGGGGTGACCCTACAGCCATGCGCACTTTATTCCAGCGGTGGCCTTTATTGTAGATGGGTCTTTTGGACCTGGGAGACCACTGGTCAGGTACCGGTTGAGCTGGGGTTTGCTCTTGGAAACAAACCCTTCAGGAAGCTGAGGCTTGTGGTTTGGGAACAGACCTACCTGCCCGGTGGGCCATCTTCACACACTCCTCAATTTTGCAGTGCTCTTCCTGGCACAGACCTGTGATCTTTCGGGGTTACATGCCTCCGTGTGGCCGGATGAACTGACTCAGCAGCAAGACATCCTCATAGTTATATTTGTGCTTCAGGTTCCAACGACAGATTGGGCACTGGCCAGAGGGGTTTGGGGGATTTGGACTCTCCTTGGGAGTCCCAGTGATGTGGCCTTTGATTATAGTCCTCTTCCCTTCTTGAATCTCCACCACTTCTTGGAAACTGCAAGCTGTAGACCTGGCCCAGCTTGTTGTGGCCAGGCCCACCAGGAACCCCGGAGTAGCCGCCCACATCCAAACACCAGCATACTGAAGGCCTCCATGTTGAAAACCAAAGCTGACCTCTTGGCATATGCCAAGACTCCTTCCCTTTTGCACCCCATATTTTTCCTCATGCTCCCTTTGTTGGGAAGGTTTTTCTCTCTCTTTTTATATATGGTGAAATCCATTTATGTCTTAAAATCCAATCTTCATTTGTGAAGCATCCCTCAGTCCCCTAGGTTCTACAGTGTTCCCCTAATACTGTCCCACCCCACCTCACCCCACACCCACCTCAGAATAATACTTGATACACTGTGTCGCGATATCTAACTTGTACTCCCCAGAAGTAACTGTACGTCGTTGAGGACAAAAGTCCATTTAATTCATTGTTACATACTTGTTGTGGAACCATACCTGATGCAGAGTAGGCCTACAAGATGTGTACATTGAGTTAAACTTGTTTAAAAAATACAGATATTTGACTTCAGTGATCAAACATGGGCATGCTATAAAAACATACCTGTGGCATCTTAAATGGCTTCATTTGAACAAATAAATTCTCTAAGAGTATTTATCAAAGAAATAGTCTTCCTTTGTAAACATGAAGTACTTTCTTCTTGTGAACTAACAGGAAATTTCTTCTATGCCTCAGACTCTGTCATGAAAATCATTTTAGAAAACGTTAGTCTTTGTGTTCACGTGACACTCTATGAGGTGTCGGAGACATGAAGGAGTCGCCAGTTTTGGCGAATGCAGTGGTATTGGATATTCTGCTGACTTTCCTAGTTGGTTATGTGTAAACAGCTTTCATGCAATGCATTAAAAATTTGGAAAGCCCCCAATATTTGAATAAATGCAGTAGTCACCGTGAGGCCATTTCTGAGTGCTTTACCCACCAGCGTATAGATTCTCCATTGTCTGGGGCTGGATGGGTCAGAGTAGAGAAGACTGACTTTCAGTACTGATGATGCCTCTTCCCCCTGGACCATTGTGCCATCGGGAGGAGAGAGAGGTTGGCTAGAATCTGGATATTGATTGCCTTGACCTCAGACGGACACTGCTGCTATTTATGAGGTCAATTGTTAAGCGTCATCAAGTTGGTTCCGACTCATGGCAATCCTGTATAGGGCTTCTGAGGAATGGCTGGTGGGTTTGAAACACCGACCTTGTAGTTAGAAGGCCAGTGCTTATCCTACAACACCATACCTGGACTCCCTGAGGGTCAGTAGTGGGTGCTATCTAACCAGCTGTTTGCCTTTCAGTTTAAGATAACTTAGACTCTAATGATTTGCCAGGTTGTTGGCCTACTGAAATGGCTCTAGACATTACTTTTAGAAACAACTCTTATTACATCTTACTCAACTTCATATCTCCATCAATTAAATTTTATTATGCCATTGATGTCCTTGATGCACATTACTGGAGCTCTCTAATATCTTATTGTAAATTTGTCCAGGAAGAAAAGCAATTTCTTTGTCATTAGCAACCCCTTTGTTAATAATACCACATATAATTTTGCATGGTAATTATTTATTGTTGGGTCTCCTTCTCTCCAAACTGGGAGCCACTTTAGAATAGGAATTAAGCTTCTTCATCATCTTTAGAATCTGGTGTCTAGTACAGTGCCTCACACATGCTGTTCCCTCAGAAATGCTCATTTCAGGGATGAACAAAAATCAATTTGCAACTGCTAGGTACTGAAGGAAAAAGTCCAAAGCGCACTGAAAGCATGGGCAGAGAACAAGCCTCCAGGAATTGATGGACTACAAAATTGAAATCTTTTCAACAAACTGATGCAGCACTGGAGGCACTCACTCATCTCTGCCAAGAAATTTCAAAGACAACTACCTGGCCAGCTGATTGGAAGAGAGCCATATTTCTGTCCATTCCAAAGAGGGGTGACCCAATGGAATGCAGAAATCACTGAACAATATCATTAATATCATATGCAAGTAAAAGTTTGCTAAAGCTAATTCAAAAATGGCTGCAACAGTACACTGACAAGGAACTGCCAGAGATTCAAGCCAGATTCAGATGTGGGCGTGGAATGTGGGATATCATTGCTGAAGTCAGATGGATCTTGGCTGAAAGCAGAGAATACCAGAAAGATGATTACCTGTGCTTTATTGACTTTGCAGAGGCTTTCAATGGTGTGGATTGTGACAAGCTGTGGGCAATATTGTCGACAATGAGAATTCTGGAATACTTAATTGTGCTCATCAGGAACCTGTACGTAGACCAAGAGACAGTTGTTCAAACAGAATAAGGGGACACTGAATGATTTAAAATCAGGAAATGTGTGTGCCAGAGTTGTAGCCTTTCGTCATACTTAATTCAGTCTGTATGCTAAGCAAATAATCCAAGAAGCTGGATTATATAAAGAAGAGCATGGCATCAGGATTGGAGAAAGACTCACTGACAACCTGTGATGTGCAGATGTTACATCCTTGCTTACTGAAAGCAAAGAGGACTTAAAATAATTAGTAATGAAGATCAAAGACCACAGCCTTCAATATGGGTTGCACCTCAAAGTAAAGAAAAATCCTCACCACTAGACCAATAAATAACATCATGATAAATGGAAAAGAGATTGAAGTTGTTGAAGACTTCAGTTTGCTTGGGTCCACTATCAGCACTCAAGGAAGCAGCAAAGTAGTCAAACAATGTATTGCATTTGGCAAATCTGCTGCACTAGACCTCTTATGCATGTGAAATCACCTCATACGCATGTGAAAGTTGAATACCATAGAAGAATAGATGTATTTGAAATATAGTGTTGTAGAAGAATATAGAAAGTACCATGGAAAGAATTGATGTATTTGAATTATAGTGTTGGAAGAAGTACAGCCAGAATGCTTCTTAGAAGCTTGGTAGCTAGAGGTCATCTCTCATACTTCAGACATGTTATCAGAAAGGACCATTCCTTGTTGTTGTTGTTGTTGTTGTTAAGTACCGTTGAGTGAGGGTCAGCAAAAAAGAGGAAGACCCATAATGAGATGGATTGGTACAATGAAAACAGCAATGGGCTGAAAAGTAACAATGATTGTGAGAATGGTGCAGGACTGGGCATGTTTCATTCTGTTGGGCATAGGGTCTTGATGATTCTGAGCTAACTCATTGGCACCTAACAGCCTAACCTTCAAAGGAGGTGTATATATATATGGGTTGGGGTTAGAGGGTTGGTTATCCAGGAGAGGAGACACAGGAAAGAAGAACATAATAAAGAAAAGAAGTTGTAGAGAAAATTCCCAGTTATGGGTCTTAAATGGTAAAGGAGTGCATGAGAAGCTTCCTGTGAAAACCTCTTGGAGAATTGTTGATAGAAAATGAAATGGAAGAAAATTAGAATATTTAAAAAATACATTAGAAAATGTGTATGAGTTATATACATTATTTCTTTCTCACAAGAAATAACGTATATAACTTTGCAGATCTTTGCACTTTTTAAAGTTCAATTTGAAGCCGTATTTGTGAAGGTTTCTTGTAGCCTCTCTTTTGTACAGTTATCTTAAAAGAAAGCATTTTACATAACATTTACAGCCATTGGTAGCTGTAGCATGTTCAAAACATGTAGAACCAGTTTTGGTCACTGCTGAAGAGATGATTTCCATTAGGCTAACAGATTTGGTACCTAAGCTTACATGCTTGATAGAAGAATAAAGTAGATTTAGAGGTAACTTTGTGCTCGGAAATAGGCATGTTTTGCTCAAAAAACTTTAAAGAGAATTCATTTTAGGCAGTAGTTTCTTCAAAGTATGATTTCCATATGCATTTGTAATCTATGGTTATGGTTATT